CCTGGGATTTGACTCTTCAGGGAGGAGCAAAGGACCAAGTAACTCAGGGACAACTATTCTTGAACTCTTAAGTGCCACTTTAATGCAGTTACTTTGGTGTAATCATGTGTTTTTTAGGACTAGACCTTGGGGAGTTGGAGAGCCAGAAATGAGCAAACCTCTTGATGCCCTTTACCATCTGGTGCCCTGACTGTGCTACATATGGAAACATAAACCTCGAGAGATGTTTCAGCTTCCTCTGTCAAAGGTGTCATCTGTGCCTTTCCCAGTGTTCATCTGACAGTGTGAATCTAAATGGCTCTACATTTGATATTAAACCACACTCAGGTGACACTGATTCCAGTGGCTTTTGTCCCAGCAATGCCTCCTCATTTGTGTGAGGTGAGTCCTCTGCTTTAGGGAAAGGATTTTTCTCCCTGACCACGTGCCAACTATCAACACCACCTGTATAGTCTTATGGATTGTAGAACTGTTGGCTGTTTCCTAAATTTATTCCAATTTCTCGTAAAGGCTTATCGATTTCGTCTGGGCTCATAATGAGATGGACGATTGCCGTGGCCTTCTGGCCTCTTGGTGAGCTTAAAATCCAAACGAGGTTGGTTTCCTTGTCATTACAAGGTAATATCTTTGTGAGGTTTTTCGACTAGTTCTGTGATCACTCGGGTGTCATAGTATCTTTAATAGCCTTCATTCTTGGTTGTAAAACTTTATTTTATATGCTCATTCACCCTCTATAAATCTGCCCATTTGGGATTGTCATGCCTGTGTATCTTTGCCCATCTGGTCTCCAGTTGGTGGAATTACCTTTTGTGTACTGCCACTTCTTAGCATCTTTGAAATTTGACCTAATGTTGCTTCATTCCAGTTTTTTTTTTTTTCTGTAATTTGTTGATTGTATTTATATGAGAGTTCTGTTGTGATGTTTACTGTATTGTAAAGCACCTGGATCATGTGATGGGTGCACTATGAATCAATAAATGATGACTTAGAGGCTGTATCATGAGCTGTTTTGGTTTTAGGATGCAGGTCTCCAAAGTTATGGTATTCTTTCTATATAAACAGCACATGATACCAAAGGGTCCACTGGGGAATCCTGATAAATACTTTATAAAACTTCATTTAAAGAAGGAACCAGAGGGTAGGGAGTTCACTTGACTTCCAATCTCATATAATGGTCTTAAAATTTCCAGTATGGGGCCAGCCACCATTCTTCATCAGAATTTCATGCATGCTGATTTAGTACCTTATGTAAAATAAAATGAGCACCTATTAGAGCATTATTGGGGTTTTTGTCTGTAGCTTAAACTCTACCATGAAGGTAAGCTAAAAGGTAAAGAACCCAGACTCAGATATGAGTGAACTGGAAGAGACCCAGAGGCACCGTCTCAGTCACCGCCTTCCCTTCTCTAAACCAGATGGGCAAACTTGACCCAGATACCTGCTCAGGATCAGTAAGTTAGTGGTAAATGAGGCAAGACATGTGTACTTTTTTCCCCTATTTTTCCAAATTAAAATTTTTTTCTGAAGGGTTGCAAACTCCAACAGGATTCAGGATGTGAATATTCAGCTTTTTACCCTGCATCCTTAAATATAGTTGTATGGGTTTGGAGGTGTTGAAAGTTTGTCTCTCTTGATGGAAGTTGCCAGTGGTTTTAAGGCCTCTTCTTTACAAACTCAGAAAAGAACACAGAACCAGATCTCTTAATCACAAGAAGAAAATCCTCCTGGAGGGCAGTTTGGGGAAAACGGTGGCTCATTTTTCAGTTTTAATTTTTCTGAAAAATATATTCGAAATAAAACTCTTATAGAAAGGTCTAGATGATGTTTCTAAACTTTAAATGTCAGTTTTAAGCATAACGATCTATTCAAGGTATATAGCAAAAAAGTTTTATTTGGATGCCATTTCCAATGCAAATGAACCAGTTCTTGACTGTGCCTACTGTGTGCAAGGCCCTACCTAGGCTATGTGGAAGGACCCGCTGATTTTCCACCTCTCTCTAGAGTTGGTAACACTTCACCAAATTAAACATTTTCATTTTCTGGAGGACTGCAAACCTCAACAGGATTCAGTTCTCACAGCTAAGTATTTCCAGGATAAGGAAATTTTGGTTGCTAAGTTTCAGATGGTGTCACCTGGATGCCGAGGTAGGACAAGGCTTTTTGTTCCACTGAGTCTGCACACCCCACTGGGCTGCACTGAAACGATTAAGGAGTTTGAATCCTGTTCACATAAGTGAAATAAACTGAAGGTGAAGGGAAAGGCTTTCACAAAAGGCAGCCAGATACATCTTGGACACAGGAGCTGCACGGAAGGTCACAGACAGGTACTTGGTTTTCCCTTACCAGCAGTCTCCATTAGGAACAACTATAATAGTACTGTGCGTGTGAGGAACTGTAGTAGCATGGTGCCCTCCCCTTATTCCGAACAAGCACCAGAAGTCAAGTTCCTATTCACTGAGCCTTCACTTTGTGGCAGGCTTGTGCTAGATTTTCTTTTTGTAAAGGGTCTAGTCAAATCCTTAGAAGGATCCACAGGCATAAACAGGTTCAGATTAATTTATCAAGACTGGAGTAAGTAAGTTTCATGGCCGGGATTCAGTTTCACGAACTCCCTTACTGGGTGCTTTACCTCTTAGCTCAGGAACAGTTTTTCCAAGGTCACATAGAGAATTAATGTGTTGAGGCCAGTACTTGAACCCAATTCATGGGACTACCAGCCTAGTGATTGCCTCCCTCCCGTTCTAGCATGAAATGACACTGCCTCCCCAGAAACAGTCTGTTCCCCTATGCTCTTAAGGCAGGCAGCATTTAACTATTCCTGCACTTCATGCTCCCTGTCGGAGACAACTCCACACAACGTTCCTCTGTATCAGACAACAAGATGTGAATTAGGTCTAAAGTGAACCATGTTCCAGTGCTCAGAGTTCTCAAAATGTCTATATATTAGATCCCATCTAATGTAGCTCCATCCAAGCCTGTAGGGTGTAATTCAATGAGTACTCCAGATGTTTAGTTTCACAGGATGTATTAAGTCCAGAGTTTTTATGCCAGTAAGTCTACTCAGAAGACAAGGGCCCAGAGACAGGGCTGTATTAATATTACAGACATCACTAAGAGTGCTTTCACTTCTGTTAGAGGGTTTCTTGAAGTTAAACTGTGATAAGGTGATAAAGCCCTTGAGTTGATTAAATCCCTTAAGATGAGTTCTTGTTTGACTGTGGGCATCTAGTCCAAGCAAAATTTGTTTACTCCTACATGTGTACTACTCTAAAGCAGAGGATCCCTGGTTTTCATCAGATTCTAAAAGGAGGTCATGATCACTCTAGTCAAATTCCCTCTTAAAATCGATGGAGAATCTGATGAAACGGCCTAGACCTTGCAGAGATTTGCCCACGATCAACACTACAAATCAGCAGCAAAGCCAACTCTGAACCCAGTTCTCCTGACTCCTGGTATAGCTCACAGCAACAGCTCATCAAATATTCTGAGCACCCGCTATATGCCAGACACTAGGCTAGTGCTGGTGAAGGGGCAAAAATAAGTCATATGATACAAACCCAGCCATCAGCTATGGCATTACTTCCTGACCACTTTGATGTTATGACCTAGAATATATTTGGAGGGCACTCTTAGGATAACAGATGAGGCTGCCTCTGCCTCGCTACCCTAATGTCCCAAAGGGCTCACCATTCTTGACATGGAAGCACTGAGCTATGGCCCCTCTCTTGGGCCTGGCAAGTACTCCCCTGCCCTTCTTAGTCTAAGGGTTGCTTACTCAATGCAGCTCTACATACCTCCCTGTCCATTCCTCCTCCCATGTCTTCAGTCTCTTGTCACATCTTCAGTCTCTTGTCACAACGGGAACACCATTTCCCTGAGCACACCACTGTTCTTAACACATTTCAATACCCTCTCCCCTTTCATTGCCTTGGTATCCCTCATCCAGAATTCCTCCTCCTTCCTCAAAAATTTAACCCTATGACTATTGATTCCAAATTCCTTCTCCATTCCATCTCACACCCAGTAATGCTTAACCTAAGCAGCACCTAAAATTTATCTTCAAATCCTCCCCCTTCCCCCTTTATTCTCTGCTTCTGCAGACAGGTGTCTCGAGTTCTGAAAGGCCTGAAACCAGGCCTTCCAACTTCTTTTTCTTCACTCTTTTGGTTCCCTTGTGTAAGAACTTCAACCATAAAATTGATGTCATCAAGCAATCTCCTTATCTCTTCCCTCTTTCATATGTATCCGCAAGCACATTCTTGTATCCTAATGTTTTAGTAGAAAACAGTGACTTGCCTGAAATCTACAGTTCATCACTTCCCGTAAATTCCTGCAGGGCATCCTGCCTCGCCAAGGACCTTGAACTTCATTCACTAGCCTTTCCGTCTCCTTTGGTTCTTTTCTCAGCCTCTCACATCTTTTAGGGCTTCCCTAGTGGCTCAGATGGTAAAGCATCTGCCTGCAGTGCAGGAGACCTGAGTTCGATCCCTGGGTTGGGAATATCCCCTGGAGAAGGAAATGGCAACCCACTCCAGTATTCTTGACTGGAAAATGCCATGGTCAGAGAAGCCTGATAGGTTTTAGTCCATGGGGTCGCAAAGAGTTGGACACGACTAAGCGACTTCACTCTCTCACATCTTTACAAACAAACCTAAAACCAAAGAAGACCCCTTTCTCAACCCTCTCACGGCTGTATTTTCCCAAAAGGTAGTAATGCTCGCTGCGCTCATCCTTTTCAGTCCCCTCCCTAGGGCGTGGAATATGATAGAGCCCAGTCAGGATGTGATAAGTCCAGAGCCTCGAAAGCACTAGGAGCAGAGAGCCAGAATTTCAGTTCCTCGGATATCCAACTACCCCCCCCCTCTACTTTCATTCACTGCTCTTACCTCGTCTCGACTCCTCCCTCTGTCTGGCCTCCATGACTCTCGCGAGACTCGAGGGCCTCCGTTACGCGCCGCTCCAGTTGAGCGGTGCACATCTCGCGAGGCTGAGGCAGGGCCGGGCCCGACATGGCGGAAGGTAGGGTTTTTGTGGAGCCGCGCGGGAAGGCGCGGAGCTGTGGGGGCGCTGCTGGCTGAGCCAAGCAGCCCTGAGAAGGAACGACCGGGCATGGTCGCATGGGGCACAGCGGGTCTCGCGAGCCTTCCTGTCCAGCCTCTGCCGGGCGCCTCGGGCGGGGGTCCCGAGCACTATTCCCATGGCAACGCCCCTCCCGGCGTCCCCTACCCCAGGGGACCGATACGGGGTCGCCGGTGGCTTGGTCGCGTGCCGGGACTGAGTGCAGCTGCTGGGATCCCGAGGGCCGCCGGGGAGGCTCCTTTGATTACCAGCGGCGCTGGGACGGCGGGGGAAGTAACACTTCTCCTTAGGAAATCGAAACTGCTGTCCTGGCAGGTCCCGCATCCGGAAGGGGTACATCCCTTGCCTGCGGAAGAGCCTGGGACTCTTCCCTGGGTGAGGGTGGGGGTGAGCCAGGGCTGTCACCGGCCGACGCGCCAGAGGGGCGGTCGCTGTAGGCTCTGGGCTTCCCAGCAGCCCCGGGGGATTCGGGTCGGCTGGGGTTCTTTCCCCAGGTTTAGAGATGTGGACAGGAGGAGGGGGTTTGCTAGGTAGAGTAGTTGGCCAAGGTCACACTGCTCCTAAAAGATACGCTAAACTAGACCTCGGCTTCTTTGCCTCTCAGTCCTATCCTTACCTGCTTTCTGCTTTCTGGCGCTTTCTTTATGACACTGCAGGTAAAGGCAGTTTGGCCTCTCCCATTCTGTCTGCCTTAACGTAGCAGTATTAGAATCCTTCACTGTCAAAGCCTTGTACAGGTGGGGGGAAAGGAGACCCAGAGATGGGAATTACCTGCCAGGGACCCTAAAGTGATGCTGTCGGGCCTGGCTAGTGTGCTTCTTATGTTCACCCCATTATTGGAGGAAAATACTGCTTCTTCGACGAAATGATGATTGCGTATGGATGCAATAGGCTGGTGCTCCCGCCTCGCATATTGATTTTGAGCTAAGCTTCGTCTGAACCCATCTTTACTTGAATCTTCTCTCTGGGCAGCACCTGACAGCTTGCAGGCTTTTCTCGTTTGATTAGACTTGGCAGCAGCCTTGTGAAGGAGGCCTGACATGGGTGTCATTTGCACTTTATAGATAAAGGAATTGAGGCCAGAGTTCTAGAGATACCCAGGACCGGTGTACCCACTGTTGGTCTGCTCTTTCTACCAAGCTATACCCGCTGTGGGGGAAACATCAGATAAATATTGTTTGAAAACAGAGGAGGATTAATAGGAATAGAAAGAAAGCTAAGGCATCCCCTGAAGCTAGTTTTTGAATAAATCACAGAATGTTGTTTAATATTGTTTTAACACAACAGGCAGCCAGCAAAGTGGAGCTTGTTGCCCAGAGCAGTGAGTTGGAGTGGAAAGGTTCAGGAAGGCTTTCTGTGGGGTGACGGTTATCCAGCGCCTTTACATCAGTTAGAGAAGTTGAATGTTTTGGGAGTACATTACTGAGATTGAAGTTGTAGAGAGCAGCTGGTTTTTCATTCAGCAGTTTTCCTGAGCACCTGCTGTGTCTGCCAATCTGATTCCAGCTTGAGGAGCTCCTACTAGCTGAATATGCTGATTGGTAATCCTGCAGGTGCCTTGAGATTTGTGTTAGGGTAACCTTGAGAGACATCCAGCTCCTGGAGAACACACCTTAAACAAAGCATCCTTTCAGCGTTAAATTGGCAAGGGAGTACAGATAGGTAGGCATAGTCAGGAGGTTCTGACTTGACAGTTTTTATTGTCTTTCCTGTGTTCCAGTTTCCTCCTCTCTGTTCTGATTTAAGCTTTTTGGAAACAATGTCGCAGACTTTGGGAAGATTCTGAGTGGATCATTCTGATCCAGTTACCTCATTAAACTGAGGGTGCTTGTTCAAGGAGGAAAGATTAGCTGGACAGTGTTTTGCAGGGTGTTAACTTATTTAATGCTGCTTGTGCTTTAATCAGAATTTATCCAGCTGACTCTGCTTGTTTAGAAATACTCATTTAAATATAAGCAAATAGCAAAAAATCCATGTCATGTAACAATTGGATGCTCTGTAAGCACACTCTATGGGAACCTCCCTGATAATGGTTTTCCTTTGGTGATGCAAGTGTGTGAGCCTGTGGGAAATGGCACTTAGAAATAGTAAATACAATCTGCTTAGACTGACTTATACAGTAACTTCTTAGTGGGACTCGTGTGGAAACCAAGCTTCTTTCCTTCCATCCATCCATGGATATTGCTTTGACTGTATATATTTAAGTAAAGTCCTAAAATTAATTTCATTTTCCACTCTACTTCCCTGAAGCTGGCCTGCTAATTGAAGTGTCCTTCATCGCTGAGAAAAGTCCCTCCAACTTGGTCTTGATTTTACTTTTTCTCCCTCATTTTGCTTCCCCACAGCCTATTTTTACTGTTTCCAGGGTTCTCTTTAAAACATAAATCAGATCATGTCTCTCTCATTCTTTGCAGTACACCTGCCTTCCACACGCCCTCCCCACTTCTGTGGGTCTCAGCGATCTTATTCCAAAGCCTTCCAGTGACCTTCAGGTCCCAACAGAGTCTGACTGCTGGTTAACACTGTTACCTTATTTCTTAACTTATTCACGAAGCTTTTGCCATACTAACATCCTTGCTATTCTTTGTACATTCCCAGCATGCTTCTAGTGCAGTATCTTTGTCCTGCAGTTCCCTTGGCCTCAAACAGTCTTCCTCAGTTTCTCCACATAGCCAGTCGACTTTTATTCACTCAGGTGTCTGTTCAGTTCTCACCTCTTTAGAAATAGTCCCTAGATTTGTTTGTCTTTTAATTCCCTTGCTGGAATATGAACCCCCACAAGAGCAGAGACTTTTTCTGTTTTGTTCACTGCTGTATCTCCCAACTTAGAATCATGCCTGTGATTGAAGGAATGGATAAATTATTGGGCGTCATTTGCCAGACATCAAGAAGAGTTGCTGGGAATTCCCTGGCGGTCTGGTGGTTAGGACTGCTCACTTTCATTGCTGAGGGTCAGGGTTCAGTTCCTCGTTGAGGAACTGAGATCCTACAAGCTGTGTGCCTTGGCCAAAATGAATAAATAAATAAAATCTAAAAAAATGAAAATTTGTCTGGATACATCCTTAGTCTCTTGTCCGGGAAGCTGCCTGGTCCAGGTATGAATGTGTTCTGAATAATATCAGGCTGCTGGGGGCTGCCTAACCTACTTTTCACCCAGCCCAGTTTAGTCTTAGCAGTCGCGCAGTGTTTAAGAGCTCAATCTCTGCAGGTGGACGTGGGTTTGAATCCTAGTGTTACTAAGCTGTGATCACAGGCAAGCCAATGAATGCTCTCAGTCTCAGTTAACTCAGCTTTGAAAGGGGGATCATCTCTATCTCAAAAGAAACTGTCTCAAGAACCCTTTTACCACAGTGCCAGACATTTTGACCTGCCACACAGTTGCTCTTGTTAAATCTGAGTAGGCCTGGGACTTACGGTATTTATTGAACTCCACCTAGTAAGAAAGCCACTGTAGGGTAGAGGGTGGGATGAGTATGGAGTGGGGGTGTGGGAGAGGCACAGAAGAAGAGCCAGACCTAGAGCCTTTTCACAGGGAATGCAGCAGTCCAGAAAAGGAGGTGAAGAGTATGTGTGGTAGAAATCGCATTGTAGGATAGAAAGTGAAAAATGCTTACGATACTCAGGCTGGGAAGAGATGTTTTAGAAAAGTGGTGGGGTGAGTGTTTGGGGTGTCAGGGGAAGCCTGTACTGCAGGAGATAAGCTAGGCTTCTCTGGGCTAGGCTTTGGAAAATAGGCCTCTTTTGGACATGGGTTGGGAAGAGGTCACAATTCTCAGTGGAAGAAATAGCAGGATCTGAGGTTGGAAAAGTACATGGGTTGGGAAGAGGTCACAATTCTCAGTGGAAGAAATAGCAGGATCTGAGGTTGGAAAAGTATGTGACAGGCCTGATTATGAAGGGATTGGTTAAATAAGTATTTAGACTTTACTCTGTGGGCCTTGGGGTGAGGCTACTAAAAGGTATCAGCCAAGGTAGTGACATGACTGGAATTGTCTGAGGCGAGTGAAAAAGGCTATAATGTAAAGGATGGATTTGGGAGGGAGGGAGGTTGGAACAGAGGCTGTAGTAATTGATGACGAGTCCTTTGGTAAGGGTCATTGGGCTTGGTGAGGACTGATATGAGAGAGACTCTCTATAGAAGGCGTAAAACATAGGGCTGTTGAAACCTGTTTGCATGTTGACAAGAGGGTGAAATCAAAGATGACTCAAGGGTTCTTGGTCTGGGTGACTCAGATAATGGCTGGACTGTTGACAGGAAGAGAAGGAACAGATTTGAGAACAAATATCTTTACCTCAGTTGTGGACAGATTTCGCCATGCCCAGTATACCTTTAGAGGATTATGGCTTAGCAAGCAGTTGGAAGTATTTCCAGTCAGACTGGTGTTTGTGTGAAAATTAGCTGGTGAGCTAGTATTTGTTGAGTATTTCCTGTGCAGCCAGCTCTGCCTCTGATCAGTGCTACAGAGTGAGGTTTTGAAAAATGTGTTAAGTCATGCCACTGACTTGCAGACAAGTCTTATCAGTTGAATCACAATCAGGAAAAAAGTATTTTATGGAAAATTCCATGGACAGAGGAGCCTGGTGGTCTACAGTCCATGGAGTTACAAAGAATCAGACACAACTGAACACACAGCACACACACACAGGCAACTTTGCTGGGGATGACAGAGTGAGCAACACACAGTCTCAGCCTTAGTGGACGTGCAGCCAAGAGGGGAAGGCAAAGTTTCTCATATTGTACTTTATAGTTTACTGAGTTTTCTCCTTTGCATTGATGATGAGTGGTACCACTGTCCAGCTGAATGCTGAAGGTCAGTAACCTAGTGGTCATCCCTGTTGTTGTTGAGTCACTCAGTCATGTCCGACTCTTTGCAACTCCATGGACTGCAGCATGCCAGACTTTCCAGTCCATCACCAACTCCCGGAGCTTGCTCAAACTC